TCCCTGGAATTACAGGCGTGCAGCATCGTGCCCAACTGTGCTAATATTTTTTTTAACTTTTGGTGAAATGTATAAATTCTTAGGAATAAACACAATCTGTTAAAACTTTTTCATGAAGAAATGGAAAAGTCAGCATCTCTGTAACCATTAAGAAAACTGAAATGCAAGTTAAAAATAGTCTTAAAGAAAATGTCAGGGCCCAGAGCCTTACAAATATGAAAATAAGGGCTGAGGATGCGGCTCAAGTGGTAACGCGCTTGCCTGGCATGTGTGGGGTGCTAGGTTCGATCCTCAGCACCATACAAAAATAAAATAAAGACGTTGTGTCCACCGAAAACTGAAAAATAAATATTAAAAAATTCTCTCTCTCTTAAAAAAATGAAAATAACATAATTTCAATCACAGAAAATACAAAAAGAAGATAAACTCCCTCACTCATTTCTGATAGCTAACATATAACCAGGATACCAAAATCGTGCAATAATAACTCACAAAATATTAAAAAACTAAAATCACTTATGTAAAAAAAAAGATAAAAGGCACAAACAAAATGAGTTTATCCAAGGAAACCAAGATAGGTTAAATATTCCAAATGCAATTAATCTTATTCACCTTATTCACCTCTTTAACTTATTAAAAGATAGATACTATTTGATCATATCATTAGATGTAAAAAAAAAAAAATCATTCAGTAAAACTCCTGATCCCATCAAAAAATAAATAAATTCCCAATCCCTGCAAGAAAAGAAACTGGAAGTAGAAGGAAGGAATTCTTCTAATCTAGAAATGAGCATCTATCAACAACTAGACCTACCGCGATGTTTTATTAAAGATTTATGGAAGGCACTTTTATAACAAGCAGTAGGTTAACTGCTGAAGGTCAAAAGCAATGAATGAAGTTAACAGCTCTTGGTACGGGAGATGTGAAATGAAATTTTTAGGTTTTGTTACCATTATTCCAGGAGGGAAATCCCTCACACCTGTGGGTACCTGGCCAGTCAGTTCATGGATGGTCGCCCTAGAGTAAGGTACCTCTTGTGAGTCATAGCCCGGGTCACAATTTGGGGGGTAAGTCACAGGATAGAAGACATGGTCACCTATGACTGCTCCCTCTTGTGGATACAAGAACGTCCTTCAGAATGGATTCTATCCACAGTGGATTCTGAGGAAGAAATAAGCTCCTTTTCAGTGCAGTCAAACGATAAAGCTCATGACACAAGTAAGATGCACTGTACATATCCTACTTTCTTTCCTTTATGCCTCTGTGCTCGAGTGTAAATCTGAAGGTGGCAAGTTCAAGTACTAAAGAGCCTGAGTGCATGAATGTTATGATAGACTCAGAAATCTGTTTTTTGAAAATTAGATTGCATTTACGTTGGATGATTTTGTTTTGTTGTTGTTCATTCTCCTACTATCCTCCAGCTCAATAACTTCAAGCCTGTCACACACACCCCTAAGGAGACCGAGGAAGCGCTAGACGCGGGCAGCGGATTCAGGTGGCACGGCGCCCTCTGCCGGCCAGTAGAGGGCCTCCCGAGCTCGCCGGAGCTGACGACCGCGCCTAGCGGACTCTAGTCACCCCTCTTCTCCACTGAGCAGCTATTACTGGGGTTTGTTTCCATAAAGGAAACTGGTCTCCCTCCCAGGTCTCGTCCCTAATCCTCTTCGCAGGAGCCCTTGGGAGAGAGAGAAGCAGTAGGTCCTCCGAGCTCCCCGGGGGCGTGGGAGGGGGGCTGGGGAGCGGGCGGGGCGGAGCCATGTGGAGCCTTTATTAGAGCAGCTCAAGGACGCAGCCCACCACAAGCCCGGGATTGCTTAGCAGCTCAGTGCGAGCAAAGCTTTCTCAGAGTAGATCTCTGTTACACCGACTGCGTCCCCGCAACCCTCCATTCATGCATATCCTACCCTGCATCAAAAACCTAACAATGTCAGGGATGGCATGGTCCTGGGGTGGGGAGTAGCAACTGTGAGAGAAATGCAGAATCGCGCATGAGCGCGGGAGCAATGAGGGATCCAAAGTGCAAAGGGAAGAAGCCTTTACAGGAAAGACTGACAGGGCCTCAAAGATTTAAAGGTGTAAGCAGCAAGTCGCTTGGTTCCCATGTCAGATTTAGGAGGAGCCTAGCCATCCAGGTGAACAGGTACCCCCTGTTCACAGCCCACACGGATGGGCCTGGTGGAGTCCATCTTGCGGTAGTGGCAATGAGGGGGTCGGGTTCCTGGGGTGGCAAAGCAGTCAGTGACCCTGACATCATGAGTACTGTCATGGCAGTTGTGCATGGAAGGGATGTTCATACAGGACACTGGTGGAGTTTTGCAGAAATCTACGATGATGGCCAGATTCTCATGAATGAAAGTGTTGATCTGCTTGCATTTACCCTTATGGATCATCCAGAGGCGCCTCATCATCACATCACAGTATCGGCGGTTTCCTCCTGGGACCAACGACTTGGGATTGTCTATGTGTCGTTTTGAGAAGGACAGGGCTGGAGTAAAGACAGTTAGGTCCAGGAGAAGGAGGAGAGGGAGGAGGATCCACCTCAGATTCATGTTTTCTGGGAAAGCAGGTCACAGAAAGAGCAGGGTCAGGCAGCAAGCCACTTTCCTTTCCCCAAAATACCTGTTTCTAAGAACTTTTGGCCTATCTTGATCCAGACATTTAAGGTTGGCAATTTTCCTCTTCTGCTTCTATCTTCACTTTCCTTCTATGCACTCACCACAAATATTCCCACATCCTACTCCTATCTCATACTCTTACATTTCCCTGGGTAAGAGGTGAGAAGTGGAGTGATTAGTCATAAAGGAGTCCCTGCCATACAAGGTTATTTCCAAATCCTAAAGCAACTCTTGCTCCTTACCTAAGAAGACCAGTTAACCTAAAAACTTTCATCTCTCAAGTGTTTGCATTTAGCAGCCCATCTGCTGCTCAACACAGCCCCATGCGGTGAGGCAGGCATCACTGCCAACCTCTTTCTGCAATGACCTAACACAGAAGGAAACTGACAGCATATGTCTGCATCTTGGGAACTATTTCCGCGTCCTTAAATACATATGCTTGTTTTAAACACTGGTTTTTAAAATGTAAGCATTTGAATTCTAAGGGGAGTTGAGTTTACATTTTCCCCACATATTTCTCTGCCTCAGAATAAAGACTCCCAAATCTTCCATATATAGGATCCATCATCCGGAAACTTCCCAATTTCTGGGACTCGGGGTTTCTGGATGATGGGGTGTGTGAGCCTTCTGTCTCTGGGTCTAATATTCTGTCTCCTTTTTAGAATACCTGGGAGTCCAGGGAAGGCTTTTCTGCAGAACAGGTGACATCCACAGAAAATGATATGTTCTTCTCAGAGGTGGATATTCCTAGGAAAGGGTGGAAACATCATTGCCTCTCTCCTTCCTCTAATCCTGTAGAAGTGACATTGTGGATATTTTCTTCCCAGACTTCTGGGTAAAGGCCATTGATCTGAAACAGATTGCCAAGTAGGTTTGATTTCTTGCTTACTATTTCACACCCAAAATGTTTACCAGCATCACACAGAGTGCCTATGACATCATTCAAACATGCAAAAACCTCTGATTTAGTGCCTGTTTTTCAAAAGTTTGCTTTCAGAGCTGGTCGTATCATTTCATCCCTCTTCTCCTCATCTCTAAAGTGTGGGGATAGACTAACAATCTTTCATCTCTGACATTCTCTGCCTTGCAGCCCCTAATTATGCTTTATCTGTGTGTTTGAGCCCATATGTGATTTTGTGTGTGGCAATTAGTGCATACATGTTTAGATAGAAAGAAATATTTGCTTTGCTAATGAGGCTTTCATTTGATAATTGTTAATCCAATCAAGTCTGGATTTTTTTAAAAAAAAAAAGCAGTTGTTAGTGAATTTAGGTTAAAAAAAATAATTACTTTTATATAAAGATTACATTTTTTTTCTTCACCATCCAAAATTTAAGTGTACCCAGGAGCTCAGGAGGCTGAGGCAGGAAGATCATGAGTTTAAAGTCAGCCTCAGCAAAAACAAGGGGCTAAGCAACTCAGTGAGACCCTGTCTCCAAATAAAATACAAAATAGGGCTGGGGATGTGCCTCAGTGGTTGAGTGCCCCTGAGTTCAATCCCCTGCACCCTACCCCCCCCCACACACACACACAAAAGAGTGGTGCTGGAGCCATCAAAATACATGATCTCAAATTATATTGCAGAAATAAAGTAACAAAAGCAGTTTGATATTTGGATAAAAACAAGCATGAAAATCAATGGGAAAAAAGACACAGAGCCAGAACCACAAAGATACAGTTATCTGATCCTTGACAAAGTTGTCAAAAATATTGTTCATTCTTTTTGTTTCTTTGGTGGATTTTTTTTAGTTGTAGATGGACACAATACATATTTTTAATTTGTTTATTTTTATGTGGTGCTGGGTATTGAACCCAGTGCCTCATCCATGCTAGGCAAGCACTCTACCACTGAGCCACCACCCCAGCTGCATGTGTGGATTATTGGTTTTACTTTTTGTGCTCTAGGAGCCTTGTTAAGGAGTCAGATCCTAAGCTGACATGGTGAAGATGTGGTTCTGCTTTTTGTTTTATTAGGTGTAGGCTCTCTGGTCTAGTGCCTATGTCTTTGATCCACTTTGAGTTGAGTTTTGTGCAGGGTAAGAGATAAGGGTTTAATTTCATTTTGTTACATGTGGGTTTTCAGTTTTCCCAGTACCATTTATTGAATAGGCTATCTTTTCTCCAGTGAATGTTTTTGGTGTCTTTCTCTAGTATGAGATAACTGTAAACTATGGAAAGAACCTAGGTGCCCTTCAACAGATGAATGGATTTTTAAAAATGTGAAATATATATATATCTGCCATTGGGCATATATATAATGAAAGAATATTACTCAGTCTTAAAGAAGAATGAAATTATGGCATTTGCTGGTAAATGAATGGAGCTGGATAATATCATGCTAGGCAAAATAAGCCAACCCCAAAAAACCAAAAGCTGAATGTTTTCTCTGATATATGGAAGCTAATTCATAATGGGGTGGGGGAGCTGGGGAAGAATACAGTTACTTTAGATTAAACAGAAGGGAGTGAAGGGATGAGAAGGGGTATGGGAGGAGAAAGGATAGTGGAATAGGTCAGACATTATTACCTTATGTACATTTATAACTATACGACCCACATAAGTCTACATCATGTATAACCAGAAGAATGAAAATTATACTCCATTATATATGATGTATCAAAGTGCATTTTACTGTCTTGTATGACTAATTAAAACAAATTTTAAAAACAAAAAAATTTAAATGCTTTCTTTATGAAAGAAGCTACCTGGGCCTCAGGTCTGTATTTCAGTAAGGAAAGGGAAGAAATTTCTAAATAGCTGGGATTGTAGCTCAGTGGTAGAGTGCTTGCCTGGTATGTGTGAGGCACTAGGTTTGATTCTTGGCACTTCATATAAATAAATAAAATAAAGGCTAATCAACATCTGAAAAAAATTTTTAAAAAGAAATTAGTAAATATATTTTCTCAGAATTCTAAAACCAGCTAAGTTAAGAAGACTGCTAACGTGGATGGCAGGAATTACATAAGTAATCACTCAAAAAAGGTATAATATGGTAAATATCATAGCTCTTATCTTGATAGGTTGCCTGGGCAGACGGACCTCAAAAGCTTTTTGTCTAATTAGACAGAGGGCAAAAGCTGACAAATCCATGGCAAGAAACTTGGTTGAGATCTAATACCTATATCTCTTTTTAAAATATTTTTTTAGTTGTAGATAGACACGCCATATCTTCACTTATTTTTAGGTGGTGTCGAGAATTGAACCCAGTGCCTCATATATGCGAGGCAAGCGCTTTACCATCAAGCTACAGCCCCAGCCCTAATACCTATACCTTAATATCCTTTAATTTCTATCTGCTCTGTAATTGGCCAAGAAACCAAGAAAAAAAGAACTACTTCTTTTTAAAATTTTACTTTGCTGTAATTTCTGTTTAATTTATGCAACAATTCTGACAAGTATGTCTTATCATGACCTGCAGATTTCTCAGTTTGATGTGTCCACAGCCTTGTGGTGGGCAAAAAGAGATAATGCTTTTCCTGATTCTTACAACAGAAGACAGGTTAACAAAAGAAGCTAGCAAATCCATGTAATCAGAGTTTCATATGACACAAGAAACTTCAGAAATGAAGATCCAACGACTCAAGAGATGCTGTACAAAAATCTCCATTTTCTGGCTTGCTTTGGGAAGAAGAGTTCTAGTTTCTATGACCCATTTCTAAGAGGAATTCTGGTTTCTATGATTGCTTTAGAAGAGAAAGAGAGGCAGGAGACCTCTCTTTACTAGCAAAAGGTTTATTAGCAAAATAAACTCTTTATTAGCCAAAAGTTACCTTAACTTTTTGAAGAAGACAGGTAGCAAACAGCAGGACAAAGAAATATTTAGAAATGTATTCTACAGAAAAAGAAATTTGTCTTCATTTTGAGGATAAAGTTGCCTTTATAGTGTGAGAGACTAATCAAAGACAACCAAAAATAATAAGTAATTGTGATTATTGGCAGTTACTGGAGAATATATAGCATAGTCAACAAATATTTACATGAGGAGATTTAGTTTAAGATGAACATCTTGCTTACTTGAAAATGTTTTCTAATAAATTGAACATGAAAGAACATTTACAGAAAGACAGAGAGTCATCATGAAGGTAGAGGTAAAGCTCAGAGAGCAATTTGAAAGTTCTTGTCCTACACAATTCAAAAGAGAGAGACCTTGTATTTGACAGGCTTTGGCTTTCTGGTCACAGATGAAAGAGCCCTCAAGACCACCTGCTTGTCTTTAATCTGATTTTGTGACCCTTACAAAGCAGTTTGATAACTAGTTTATTCTCACCATTATCACAGTGTATTAACAGCACAGAAGACAAAATTAAAATAGAAGACTTTCCAGAATTAAGTGTGTACTCGAAGTTTAGTAAATCTAATGGTGACAGTTCTGTCAGGAAATGATAAAGGAAATGATAAATTGCTCATTAGTTGAGGAATTTGGTGATCAATTTTTGGAAAAAAAAATAATATTAGATCCTTCTCTGATAACATAAAAAGTATGAAATTGTAAAAGAACAAATTTGTGAGTGTAACTGTGTTAAACAACAAATCTACAAAAGTCTAATTTTGTGGGTCTTAATTTCTTTTATCTGTGGTTCTAGAATCAGGCAGCCCTCCGAACAAGAGCAAGTTCAAAGAACTCCCCTCTTGCCATGCCATCTGAAAACATTTATGTACAGAAAATACAAGTGAGGTACAGGAAAACTGAATTGGTTACTCTCATGTTTCTCTTATTTGAGGAATTTAAACAGTTGACCATCTGTGTTTGAGGCTTGGCTACTGTGATTGGCTGGAACTTATTTGTTGAACATATACTCCCAATTTTCAGTGTTCTATCAGCCAGTTCACACAGTAAGTTAGGTTGTAATTCACCAGTTAAGAACTTGTGTATAGGGATCCCTTTGGGCCAAATTTGGTTTGATTTAATAATCATGTTTTTAAAACCCTAAAGGGTATGCAAATAAATTATTTAGATGAACATTTGCTGAAATAAAACCAAATAAAATCAATTTTCTTTTTATATCTCAGTATAAAGGAAGTAAAAATGGCCCCATTTCTGATGGTGAGGTGAGCCCTGAGTTCCTACCCTGTGGAGATCATATTGACTTGGCAGCGGAATGAGGGGTATCAGATTCAGGGCATGGAGTTTGTGGAGAACAGACCTGCAGGGACTGGAACCTTCCAGAAATGAGCAGTAGTTGTGGTGTCTTCTGGGGAGAAACAGATACGTGCACCATGTGCAGCAGGAGGGGTTGCCTGAGCCCCTGAAACTGAGATGAGAGCTACTTCCTCAGCCCACCCTCCCATGTGGGAACCATTACTGTCTTGATTCTCGGAGCTGTGATCAATGAAGGAAGAATGCATCAGGCAAAAGAGAGCGAGCTATGCTCAGGCTGCCTGCCCAAACATTTCCCAAGACTCTGGTGCATCTCTCAAGACTTCTAATGTCTGGTGCCTTGTGTGGAACTGAGCAGTACAAGATTTGTTCAAGACCCACCCCCCAGATACACCATAGCAACTTCAAGAGCTCCTGACTTCTACAACTGGCATGTGTCTGTGTTCCCACTAGAACAATGTGAGGAAACGGAAAGACCAGTCCTGAGCACTGACACCTCCTCTCTACACTGCTGCTTCCCTTCCTGATCAACTTTCCTGTTCCAGAAGAGGAGCCAGGATCTCTCCATGCTTGTCTTAACACGATGTTGCACTGAGTCGCAGCTTCTTACTTTCTTTTTTTTTTTTTTTAGGCCTCTGTTCTTTATTTATTTTTTTTATTATTGGTTATTCAAAACATTACAAAGATTGCAGAATCACATTGGTTACACATCCACATTTTTACATAATGCCCTATTAGTAACTGTTGTATTCTGCTACCTTTCCTATC